TTTCCTATTTGCTCTCAGATATTTACTTTACCCTCAAGCCCATATTTAAGAGATAAAACTAGCACTTAGTCCTATTAAAACACCTGGAAAACCAGTTATACTGTATGGAATAAAGACACTGTCTGAATCTACTTTATCTAAGAAAATAAAAACTCAGAAGAAATACCCATCTCCATACTGTATTGAAAAAATGTATAAATAACTGACACACACAACTAAATACATGTAAGCTTCAGATTCCCACTGTAAAAAAAGATAGTACAGATTTCTTTCATTGGACAGTTAAGGCCTTGACTCCTGGTGGAGTTTTGATGTGGTTCAGAAGATAAGATATGGTCTACATTTCAAATACAGTAAATACAGTATAACCTTTTGAAATGACTATATCACTAGTACAAAATGGACGCTGATGGGCGTTGTTCCTTTCTACATTAATAAATAATGGGCCAAAATGAAAAGCGTGGCTAACGACGTGTGTAGAGCCCCGTGGGGAACAGAGCATCTTGGCTGGAGGAGGAAATTAGGACACACACAGTCTGGAGACTAAGAGCAAACATCTGCACAAACACGTGAAGACTTTGATCCTTACTTTAGGAAAATGATAAATAATAATTGTGTTCATATTTAGTGTTTACATCTCTGGAGGAGTAAAAAGTGGGTTAATGAATAAATGTGTCAGTGGAGCGGAGTCTAAATAATGTTTGTGTTTGCAGCGTACAAAGAGAAGATGAAGGAGATCTCAGTGCTGTCGCTCATCTGCTCCTGTCTCTATCCCGAGACACGCAAAAACATCATGGGAGACTTTGAAGGTAAGAACGCTGAGGTTCTGCAAGCCCGGTGTTTTTCAGGGACAATAATAACTGAAGATTCATCTTTTGGAACATACTGCAGCTAATAGAAAAAAACGTGTCTAATGTGTGTAATATCACTTTAAGTTGTCTAGTTGATATATGATTAATGTGTTTATCTTAGTGAAAACAATACATTTACAGAATAATACTTATTTAATAAATCCAGTAATGTCAAACAGATCCAAGAATTTACAACTTTTCTATTTTGTGTTTCATTCAGACCTGGACATTAAACCTATCAACAAGCGAGCGTCAGGTCAGGCTTTCGAGGTGATCCTCAAGCCCTCCTCCCCGGTGTCCGAGTCAGCCCACTGCATCACCAGCCCCCCCAAGAGGGACGTGTCCCTGGAGGACATCCAGAAGAAACTAGAGGCCGCTGAGGACCGGCGGAGAGTAAGCATCTTATCATCCAGCGATCTGTCCAACCAGTGTTGGCCCAAAACTTTAAAAGATAAAAGCAGTTCTCACTGTATCCTTGACCTACTTTCAATATTCTATCTTGATTTATGGCCCCTGTGTCGGTTTACTCACCTGTGACTCAGTGAGTCCATGTCCCTCCCAAAACTAAATTGACTTTATGCAACATTTGTGCCTCATTGATTTCTGTCAATAGCAATTCTTTAGGGCATGCACTGACCAATACAAAGCTCACACACAAATCAATCGGCTTCAATGTGACACAGCCACAGTGCAGCAGATGTCACACACTGCAGGTCCTGTGGATGAGCTGTATTTTATAGATATTTAAAATAAAAGTAGCAATGGCAGGATTGTAATGTCATATTTTGTTAATTCCATGCCATTGCCAAAGTATTCAGAACATCCAACACCCGATTGTCAATCTCAGAGTTAGGGTTGAAACCATGAAAATTAAAAATTAAAAAGTGGAAGAAAAAGTTGTGTTGTGGAAATTCATTAAAAAATGCCACTGGGGATGGAACAAGGCGGTACAAGAGCGACTTTGATGAATTATAGGTGTCTTTGCTGAACCTCCAAAATCAATGCAGCAGGCAGCCTTCTATCCGTCTCTGTTCTGCACTGCGGCTTCTTACTTTTACATTCTGCTAAAAAGAGAAAACCACTTTATTTCTGCCTACTGCAACAAAACTGTGTTGCTCTTTTTTCTCCCTGAGTCATTCTGGTTGTGCAGTGATTCAGTCTTTTGTCTTCAGTCCCAGGAGGCGTCCGTGCTGCGAGCGCTGGCTGAGAAACGAGATCACGAGCGCGACGTGCTGCTCCGAGCCATGGAGGAGAACAGCAACTTCAGCCGCATGGCCGAGGAGAAACTGCAGCTCAAGATGGACCAGATCGAGGAGAACCGGCTGGCTAACATGGCCGCCCTGATGGAGCGTCTGCAGGAGAAGGTACCACCCACTCTTTGATAAAGGAATGAATGAATGAATGCTCACCAGATTCAAGAAAATACTTAAATAAATACATGTTCATCATTAAGATAAGATAAGATTGCACACATCCAACAGATATAATATTTAAGACACCAAAATAAAAACAAGTAAAAAGATAATAAAATAGAATGAAATAAAACTCTGGAGCTTTTATTGCCCTTGGTTTGGAAGTATTTACAGATGTGTATATTGTACTTTAGCAGCAGAGAGATGAGCAGAATAAACAATAGTAATAATAGCAGCAGGTTAAAAAAAAAACTAGTGAATGGATATGTAATAATGTAGTAACAACAACAACAGGTAAAGTGACTAGTAAGTGAACGGGGAATTATTATCAGAACAGGTGAGTGGCACGTGTTCTCGTTGTACAGTCTGACAGCAGCAGGGAGGAAGGACCTGCTGTATTGTTGTGAAGGAACAGTAGGGAAAACATGTCTAAGACAAATGGTGGGATCATAATTCTTTAACATTTCTATACGTGCATTGACTTAATGGTTATTTTTTTATCGATTCATTCATTCATTCAAACGTGGCCCTCAAACCAACTTTGCCAGTGATTAGTTGTTGAAGCTGGGGGGCCTGAATTTCAATCCACAAACATTTCCCATTTTTACATTGTTCTTGCTTTGGTTTTATCACAAGTTTTCACAAATCAACCTTTTTAGACAGAAAAGTGACAAAGACAGAACCAACCAGCTCTCAGCCCAAAGAGTCAAACAGTGACTTACAAGGCTCTTTTTGTATCTAATAAATAAGCAGATTTCTTATAATATTAAGATATCATGTTATGGTTTGATTTATTCACAACATTTTACTTTCACAAGATTCTTTCTGTTGGGACACAGAAAGTGTATTATTTATTTTAAAAGAAATAAAGTGCTATGATGTAAGCACAGTTTTAGAATAAACTTTTTTATTTATGAAAATCCCATAAAACATGATAAGTAATAAGCAATTAAAAAGAGAATCAGTATAAGTCAGGTGTCATTTTTAGATTAATGGCAGCCACACATCTGAAATGCATGACTAAATGTATTTTTGTTGGCTTCTTAGATGGAAAACAAGAGCATTGGTGCTCTGTGAACTGGGTGTTAGCTCTGACTGCCACCCCCTCGACCCAGAAATGGATTAAGGGGAAGAAGATGAATGGATAATAATCTCTATATATTCTAAATTGTTTCTAAAAATCTGGGATACAGAATAATCAATTCATGCTGCCTTTCTCAACAGAAGGAGACGTGTGAAAGTAAAATTAGAAAGTGACCTTTGACTCTTTGGGCTCAGAGCTGATTGGCCGAGTGAGGGTGGTCCTTTCATCTCACTTTTCTGATATAAAGATGTAACATGAGGCCAATTATTACATGTATGTGAAGCCCTTAACGATAGAACCAACCTGTTTCGAGTGAGAGGAACTAGTTAGATGGATTTTAATAAATGTTTATGCTTTGAAAGTTTGCTATACCCCAGCATGAACTAAAACGCCTTCTTTGAACGTTGCAGGAGAGGCACGCCCAGGAGGTGCGCAGGAACAAGGAGTTGCGAGAAGAGGTGACCGCATGAGAACCCACCCCCTCGCCATGGCCCCCAAAGCCCCCTGCCCCCAGCACCGATGACACCACGACTACCACCCCAGACCCCCCCCTCTTCTGCCTCTGCCCTGAGAAACCCACCTCTCCTCTTCTGTCACGTTCCATCGCCATCCGACATCTGTGGTCCTATAGTGGGAGAATCCGGCGGGGTTAGGGGTGGTAAGAAGATGCAAAAATTGTTATAAAATGAGAAAAAACGTATCGACTCCCACCCATTCTTCCCAAAAATAAGAATGTTTTTTGCTCTGTTTCCAATGAAAAGAAAAAAATTGCAAGTGAAAGTGGGCATTGGTTTTTTGTAAATACTTCTTTTTTTTGTTTTATACAAGCAGCAAAAAGTATTGATTGCAGTGTGCCATTTTTATATCTAAGTTGAATATCCTCCTGCATATCTGGATGTAATAGTTTGGTAGTTTTAATATTTTACTTTTACCATTTGAGCCTGGGATTTGTTTTGTTTTTTCTTGTGTGTGGTGACAGGCCAAGGTGTTTGTTGTGAGTTTGCCAGCTAGATAAGGTGTGCCATGACTTTGAACTCGACAAAATGCGAGCTTCTTGGCATCGGCTTCTCTTTCCCAAATTAGAAGCTCTCGGCTGGAGTGCTTCCCATCCGCCTCGCTCCCTGTAATGATCACTTTGGCACCCGAACAGGCAGAAGTTTGCATTTTGTGGAGAACTCTCATAGCACATCACCCTCTGTGCCCAAACAGAGGAACACTATAGCATTTAATGAGCCTAACTTCTAGTCTCTCCGTCTACAACCTCTTTAGTACACTTGCATTTTAGAAGCACTTACTCTCTCAACTTGGGCAGGTATTTTAGCCCTATCACAGCTCAAGAGGAGCCTGCTACATATACCGCCCAAACCTGGCAACCTGGAAAAATGTCACTTAACAACCCTGATGATAATACTATAGACTAGCCCTTTATTCATTGCTTTCCACTTCAACTACATTATTGTAACAGCCAGAGGTGCACAGACAAGATCTACACTTGAGATCAGATTTGTTACTGTGAATAACGATCAATATTTTTCCTCGAGGCCATAGAGTAGTGCTTGACAATATTCATCAGCATCAGCAACTACTTACTACCACTGCACTCAACAGCACCGTAGGCCCAGACTGCGCTCCGAGCTGGCACACTGTTTTGAGATCTCTGGAGGTGTCACAAACTGTATTCAAGGCCTCAGCATTTTTAAGTGGCAATGCATCTTTTAGCCCGTAGGTGGCGTGTGAGTGTGTTTCCTAAAAGGCAGGTAGTTATGGTTTGCTTGTTCTATGTGAAACAGAAGTACAGTGTATGACTATTAGCGCTGACAGTGACTCCTACCTGCCTCTCTCTCTCTCCTCTGTCCATGTGTGTTTTCTTCCTCTCCGCATATATCTTTCTGAGCAAGCAGTGGATAATAAAGATCTGGGATTCAGTGAATGAAACTGTTGTTTGAAAGTGATTTTGCAGACACATGCACGCAACCAACCAACACATATGCATGCATTTTAGGTTCTAAACATGAAACAACACATATGACCCAAAATGGGATAACGACTCGTCATTGGTAAAAAGTGTTGGAATCATGAAACATGCTGAATTTATGCTGAATAAGTGTGGGACAACACATCTATTTCATACAATTATTAAAAATAATATATTGTTAAATATAGGCCTATACATGGCAAAGAATACAATGAACAAAATATATTAATTTAAGCCGAAATATTAATATATATATTATATTACTGATCAGCTCCCAATGAACACACAATAACACGTTTTCATTCAGATAATTACAGCATGCTGTGGTCTGATTTGTCCACAAAATTATTCTTGAACAAAATGTATTAGTAACTAAAGCTGAAGTTTAATTTTTTTGATTTTTCTCTATTTTCACTACTTTTTATGGTCAGTAGAGGGAGCCAAAAGGCAAAGCACTTTATTCCTGGGACCAGCACGACACGAGCCTGCACCAAAGCAGTTATCAGATCAGATATTTCTGATCTGTGCATTGGGTTTCCTTGATGAATGTGTTTCAATATGAAATGTATACGTTTCAAACCGTTTTAAACCGTCGATCCTTTCTGAAAACTCTATTGGCCCCATGATCCATGTCCTCACCCTCCTTGCTTCCTCCTCCTCTGTTCCCACGAGGCGCACGGAGCCCGTCGGGATATCACCTCCTTGTAAATGGTTTCCTGCGCACTCACAGAGGGCCGCGCACAGAAACCTGCGGCCTCATATGATACCGGGCGTTGTCATTACGCACGCGTCATGGTCCCATGAATAAAGACCATATTCAGAACTTTGCTCGGATGTATTTACACAACGCATGCGCCGAATCAACATCTGAGCGCTGCACTAAAGCTACATCTTATATTTTATCATTGTGACACGAATCAACCAGAAATTAAAGCTGGGGTACCCGCTTTCAAACTGCAACAAATGTAACTGGCCTATATTTAACCACTTTCTCGATCTCGTTTGTTTATATCACTGGTTTGCATTTGGTCCTCTGACATCTTTGGATCATCTTTTATCATACGGTAAAGTGAAAAAGCTCTCAACCAAAAGGGTCAAATAGTGAAGGGCAAAAGCTGATCATATGAAGACAGAATGTTATGGTCTGATTTGTTCACAACAATTTACTTTTACAAGATTAATTCTTTTGGGACAAAATGCTAATAGTTATTTTATCATAAAATGAATGAGACATATTGAACATTCTTTGTGTGTGTAAAACTTGTGTGCCTAATATATGTTTTATCTTCACCGCCTGAAGAGAACAAAACAAAGCCACAACATTTATAATAACTGTTTTTAATTACAGATAAACCGTAAACAGTATAGAAACTGAATTGTCAGTGCCTGCTTGTTCTTTGTAGAAATATTCATACACACAACCATAAATATCAGATGCACAGAATCAAAAAATAAACGTACAAAATAAGACTTTTGTGAGTGACAAATTGACAGAAGTAAAGTGGAATCAAAGTGAGGTAAATTTCAGATTTGACTATAAATAACGAAACAGTAAAAACAATGAACCATGTGATAACTTTGAGCAATGGGCCTATCGTTGTTTACTCAAACCAAGCTGGTGACTTCTGTTTCCAGTATTTGGTCAAACAAGCACCTGGTTTCGATTATTCCACCTCATAAAATGCTGTAAAAAGGGAGGTCATCTACAGCTCCGAATCTCTTTCACACACTCCCCTCTGTGTGCTCGTTTGGGGGCACAGAGGGGGGCAGTTTCACCCAGGAACTTGACAGACCACTGCTTGACCATCTGGAAAAGTCATCTCTGATTGGATATCATCAGGAGGTGGGCGTGAACACAATTAATCAATTAGAACAAAGAAATGGTTCCTGTTGCTTTTAGCTTGGAGAGTCCTCTTTACCCAACACAAGCACAGCTACAGAAGGCTCCACTGGACCATAGAAAAATAGCTCACAACATTAGAAAAAAAATCGTCCTTGAGTCTATAGTCTATAAAGGCTTTAGTCAGAATGCTCCAATCTCCATTCCCCAGGGCCTATAAGGTTTCCCAACACTAGAGGCTGAGGCCGGTGTGCTGATGCTTGTGGATGTAGCAGGTGAAATGAGTGGGAACGCGCTGAAGGGAAACGGGAAAGCCGAAAGCGATGAGATCAGGGGAGGAGATAGTTTGGAGACTGTGGCCGGGACGAGGGCTGGGTGCAGGACCGGTGTGGGAGCAGCAGTGACGGGCACACGGAGGGGCGCCTGCTCTGTCTGAGGGGTCACACTGCCACTGCGTCTGCCCGGGAGGTGGCTGTCTGTGGAGGGAGAAGGAGTGCTGGTTGAGGACGCTGTGCTGACGGGTGCCATGGGAGTACTGGGGGCTGTCAGGGCAGGCTGGTGCTGAAGGAGATGCAAGCTGTGGGTGAGGTGGGCCGTAGGGGGAGAGCCGAAAGCGGAACCCCAGGCCAGGTGGCTCAGGCCGGAGTGGGCTTCTCTCTGACTGGCGTAGTTGTTGAGGTGAGACACAAGGCGGATACGCATAGGGTCTGTGCTGTCCAAGCCCTCGATGATGCTGAGGTAGCGAGCGGTCTCTGCCAAACACTCACGGAAACCCAGACCACGGTAGTCCATCGCCAGAGCATGAGCATCAAAGTAACCTATAGGGGAAAAACACACAATATAAGGTTGTGAGATTTTGACTATTTGTAAAGGTGAAGAGAAGTTAAAACTACAACATTGCCAGATAGATAGAGATGAAGATTGCAAATACGTGATTTTTTTGTTTTCTTTTCTTTAAGAATTTAACTTTCCCATAGAGAACTTGAATGTTGCTAATGAGATTTAGGATTTGTTCTAAAAATGACAAATAGCTGCAGTGTCTCACCTTTTCCTCCAGCTGCATGAAGCATCTTCAGATGGTCCACAGTCATCTGCAAAATCTCTGCCTTCTCCAACTTTGCTGAGCCCTTTATCAGAAAGAAAAAAAGCATTTATACTCAAAATAAAACTCCTATCATCGAATTTGTGCTACTTGTCATTGAGAGAATATACGTGGATGTACCTGTTTCTCAAAGGCACTGGGGACGAGTCTGCGGAGTTCGCTCAGACTGTTGTTGATTCTATCGCGACGTCGTTTCTCAATTATCTGTGAAAAACAAATCCTTAATTAATAAAAGCCAGGCGACAACTTTGACATAGATTTTAAAGTATATTTTTAGATCCTGAAAATGATGAACAAAATAGACTTACTCCTCGACGTCTCTTCCTGGCCTGCACCTGAGTGGACGTGGAGGGAGACAGCGAGCCCATGGGAGAGCTCAGGTTCCTAGAATAATAATAATTAAAAAAAACATTATTACAATGTACTGGGGGTGTTTATTGTTAACATTGCAATAATTTGAAGAATACAACTTTTTACAAAGAAACAAACTAATTAATTTACGATAAAATAAAACATACCCATTCTCATCTGCGCTCTCCTTCTCCACCTCGATGGCCTCGTCAAGTTCGCTGTCCGAAGAGCAGCTAAAATCATGGTTCCTTTTCATCTTTGCACGAGTTTGAGAAAGTTTTCTAAGTTCTGGTATAGTTTGCGAGAAGAATCCGTGCGTGCCTGTCCTCTGTTGGTGCCGTCTCTGTTTGAAGCGCACTTCTTTCCCACGGTGTCATTTCAACTCCGAGAGCAGCCAAGTGAGGCGGGACCTAAGGGACTGTAGACCAATAAGGGAGCAGCAGCCGCTTTGATAGACAGCGCACTTGGCCCAAGCAAAACGCTGTCCGCTTTGATAGAACTAAAGATGATAAGGAGGGCAGGACGTCTCACTTTGAGCTGTTTTCCAAGTGAAACCCATTTACATGAAAGAGATTAACGCCAATACACAAAACATTCATCAACTTTCGCACTGGATTATGTAGCAGCAACCACGAACACATTCATTAAGAGAAGAGTAAAATTCAGTCTAAGTCAAACACAACACACAAACCAATCAAAACATGTCTTTCTTTTTGTTTGATGAAATGGTTTTGTGTGCAGACAAACAACACACGCATGCGCTGGACTAGAACAAACAGATTCAGATTCATTTATTTGCCATTTGCAGTAAAACCACATTGGAAAAACTGTGCAAGACTACCCCAGTGTGCACCAGACAGAGAAGACGACACACACCAGAGCTCTTGCCACGGCGCCACCACACACTCCTCATGCAGTAGCTTTCTGCTTTTTACATGCTGCAGTGAAAGTGAGCGATAAAATTATGAGAAATTCAAGATATTCGCAACTTTTCATTTCAATATCATATTCAATTTTTTAGAAATATTGCAGACAAGCTGACGTCACCACTGCAGCCGATACACGTCATATCTGTGGAGACGAGAACTCAGAAGAAAGATGGTTCGGATTGGTCTGTTTTGGCCAAACTCCTGCATGTTGTTGCATGATGTGCAACATGTGCTTGATTTGTTTGATGCCATGTGGAACACTTCACGCATGAATAACAACATGGCTTGGATCATGTTTACTGGTTATTGCTCCTGTGCATGTGTAGAGGAACATTCTTCAGACTCTGGGGATGTGTAACAGTCCACACTCGTCTTCACAGGTCAGTTCTGAATCTTTCAAGTTTCTGTCAGCACTTGTTGCGTCTCGTGCTCACGTCTTGGTTTTGGTGCGGACGTGTGAACTGAGTGATTAATCTTAATGACAGAGAGGATCTCTGCAGAAACTTTGTCAGCGGTCCAATGGACTCACGGTCCGTGCCTGCTGCCCTCCGCCCCTCCCGTGTCCCGGCGCTGATGAGGAGTGGCTGGCCGCCTGTCAGCACGCGTTGGCCGTGGGAAAGTTCCCCAACCGGCGCTGATAACCAATCAGAGACCCACGGCCGTCTCCGGCGCTGGAATGAATGGAGCAATTGGTCGGGGCGACGGGCGGTCTGCGAGTGAGCGTGTGAACCTGTAATCCAATACTAACTCAGCCCGGGAGCAACCAGAGGAAGCCACCACGTCTAATCTCACCCCACACACACGCACCAAACACCGGGGACATCAAGGCCCCGTTACAGGGCTGCGCTATGGGCTGCACCGAGGTCTCTGCGGTAGCGCAGGCCTTCTGTACTGAAGAGCTGCCGACCTACTGTAGCCTGCAGTGTGTCACAGCTCTTTTACCGCTAGTAACACAATCCTATGCAACACACATAGAATACCACCTCTGTATCTATATCATAGACTGTCTCTATGCATGGTTTTCATTTCACGACTGCATGAGTGCTTGTTTCATCATTGTTGAGTGCAGTCTACTCAATATTCACATCACAGAAAACGTTGGCAATGAATATGAGCTATTGGCCACCACTTATATATGACTCATAATGATTTATGGAGAACATATGGAAGTTTTCATCATCAATAACACAAACTGAACCTTTTATTGATCATCTATTTAGGACTCCAAGACAAACAGATTGTGGGTAACAGAAGACGTAATGGTCACACACACAGACAGACAGACCGGGTCGCTGTTTGTCTTATAAGAATGACAGGAAGCACTTAAGGCTGTTTTCATCTTATTGTTGTTACAAGGCTGCGCCACAGATGCTGACCAAGGCCATGCAGGGCTGCACTGCAACATCAACAATACAACATGTGCAAACCATCTTAATCCTTTTCAGATTGATATATGATATTAAGATTTAAGCAGACCAAATACTTAAAGATTGCGGTACTGGAAGGCCAGATATCTTCTTTGTTTGAAATGTTTGAGAACACTGGTTTAGAGAATCAATTTGACCTCCTAATAGAACAATAACATGACAAAAAGATGAAAACATTCTGAAAAAAATGTCACACATTTTGACCACAGCCTTGTGCTTCTCTTGTGCGTGTTTGTGTACATGTCAAGATCTCCGCAGCGGCAATGGGTGTTGCGTTCACACACAAGTTAGTGCAACTTGAAGCCATTGTCACAATAAACACAGGTGTGCTCCTTCCACAGTGGTCCCTTTGACGGTTGCATGCGTGCGTGTGTGTGTGTGTGTGTGTGTGTGTGTGGGTGCTGGGGCAGGACGGGGGTGTGCTCTGAGCCTCCCTCTCTTGTTGTATTTCAAGTTCACCCAGAGTTCCCACGCTGTTATTTTCTGCCTGGTGCTCTTTGTTCTACCGGTCTCATCACATGTTGTGATTAGAGCCGCCCTTTGAAGGTGAGGGCCCCGGACCAGCACCATCATCCAAAAGCCTCGCCCCTCTCTTCCTCTCTGCGAATGGGGACAGAGGCATCGCACCAGAGGACATAACAATCAGAAGTCACCCCTCTGCTGCGGTCCTCCCAGGCCCGCAGCCAGGGGATCAACTTCAGTCGGACTACAAGGGACAGGGAGAGCCAGGGTTTAGACCATAGTTTAGACCCGCTCAGAGATGGGTGTAGTCTTGTTACAGTGCAGTGGTTGTGATTAGGTCTTAAGCTTGTACATGATTTTAAAGTTTAGTCATGCTTAGATTCCAGCCACAAGTGGTGGAACTTAAAAAGGACAAAAACTTTTCAGGCAGAAACAAAAGTTTGTCTGTCATTTGAGAGGAATATTTCACATAAATGAAACAAATTCAATGGAAAGGGAAATATAAGCTGTTATATGGCTTTCATTTCTATTTTTGTTAAAGCTTTCAAGAAATATAAATACATATTTTTGGTGCTACTCAAATATTGTATGAAAAGTCCCCAAAGTTCTGTGAGAACAGGTCCTTGAGACAATACATGATTAGTGGTCCGACCACAATAACAACATTAGTGAGACGTTCAGGCGACACATGCACATGGGCTTTGGAGTCAAGCTTTTTACATCTTTCACTCTAGCATATTGTATTTATACGTCAAAGTGTAAATATTTGTTTAAACTTATCCACTCAACAGTCCTCATGTCATCTGATATTTAGCCATCGATTTGTTAGTATTTGATTTCTGTCGGAAATCTTGGTGACTTCCGTACGTGTAAATGAAGCAAAGCGCTGTGTGGATGGATTGACGATGATAAATGATACTTTTGTTGAGTTCAGGAACTTTCAATTATAGCTAAACCAAACAAGCGAATACTAAACTGTGAAGTGCCAAAGCGCTGTCTGCACCGTAGTGGAAGACAAATGCATACATATATGGTTCAAACAAACACATTATCAATCTTTCACACACGTAATTGAGGTCTTTCTTTAAACTGCCTCTTCCAGTTTTTGCGTACGGAGCTTTTGCAAATGCAGGGTTTTGCTCAATCATTTGTTCATCCTGAAAAAGTGAGTTGCTTAAAGCTGGGGTACCTAACTCTCCCCACAAAGAGTACAGTAGGATGTTGTGAACAAATCAGACCTACTTGTAAGAAAGAACCCTGTGAGTCACTGTTTGATGCTTTGGGCTTAGAGTTAATTGTCTGAGTGGTCCTCACTTTTTACTCTGAAAAAGCTGAAAAAGCTGATCTAAGGTTGTGTTGTAAAAAAAATGCACACATGTGAAAACGAGTGATAGAAACAAACTAGTTAGATGGATTGTCTTCACATAGTTACATTTTTCCCCACTGTGGGACAAATAAAGGATCTCTTAATCTTGTGTGTTGAAAGTCAAATACCCCAGCTTTTAAAAACAAGTCAAACAATGCAATACAAAATCAGCCCTATGAAATCTTGAGGAATCATGTATTCATCAGATAACCCTGTCCCTTGGCCATTCTCCAAAGCCTGGAGTTTCTCAGCAGAAGTTCATATGTCTCAGTTTCAAACCTCTCAACAGAACATTACAAAATCCATCATTTATCTTCCAAAGAGAAAACTAAACCAGGAGAATAATTATGCAATCGCTGCTGTGGCGTCTGCCTGGTGGCCACAGGCTGATGTCGGTCAAGTCCTAACAATCGCTTTGCTGAAGTCCTCCAAGGGTGCGTCTTGTTTTTATTTATAAATAGAATTGTCTGAAGCAGAGGAAGGCTAACTCTGCGTCCTGGGACAAGCCGGAGGAAGTGTTGTCTAATTCTGCGCTCTGAGACACCCGCACATTGTGCCTGCCGAGGGTCCGAATGGGACATGTGTGTATTGTTTACGGAGGGAGCGTGTGACAGGGGTAAAGGTGTCTGCTATTGTCAGAGTTGAAGTGGAGGCGGTTATCGGACGTGCTCTCATTGTTGTGCCTGCTCGGCCTCTTGAATGCAGTGTTTGGAGCTGAAGGCTGTGGTCACATGTGAGAGCGGGTCAGCGTATTGAGGAAGTGCTGCGTTATGTTGGAGTTGACCCACTGACACTCATCCCCGTCCCAGGCCCTGTGGGAAGTGTCCACATCGATGTCTCTCTGCTCTCCAATTAACACACATTCAACACAACATAGAGGCACTGCACAAACATATATCTGTGTAACAAAGTCTGGGGGTATATATCTGGGGGTATATACATCATTCAGCAGTGGGAAAGGTCTTTGGTTCTCAAGTAAAACTATAGTATTGATTTTATTCATGTACCTAAGTAAAAATATAACCCTTTGTATGTGCTCTAGTGCATTTCTGTTGAATCATTTATTTCAGACAATTTAATTCTTTGATACGCTTTTGAAAAACAATATTGTGCTGCTAGAAATGTCTCATACGTGAGATACAGAATCTGTCAATAATCAAAATATCAGACCAAAAGTATTCAAGAACTTCAAACCTATTTTCAGATTGTGTTGCCATTTGAAAAGTAGATTGACTTTATACATGTTTTGTTTAAGGGGAAATGCCAAAATCCCCTCCTTTGTTTGTGTGTGTGTTGTTGTGTGTGTGCATGAGTGCGTGCGTTTGAGTGTGTATATATGAATATGTAGTGTATGCAGGCATGTGGGTGCAAGTGTACAGTACGTGTGTGAGCAAGTGTGCGGGAGTATGCGTGTGTGTTGTTGTGTGTGTGTGCGTTTCTTTGTGTATATACAGTATGAATATGTTTGCAGGCATGTGGGCGCGAGTGTAAGTGTGTAAGCAAGTGTGCGGGAGTACAGTATGCGTGTAGAAAAGTCCTGTCATTTGTCAACTCTCGTCTCAGAAAAACAACAAAATAAAAAAACAAATAATGAAATACAATTAGAAAGTACAGATATTTGGATGTAAAAGTAAGAAATAAAAGTTACTGATACCGGGACAATACACATTCCTAAAAAAAATACATAGTGACTTCCACCTCTAAAATGCTTTGATAATGACAAATACATTTATGGTGAGGCTGCAGATATAAATCAATCCTTTGTTTTCCCGAGATGCAACTATCGTGCACCTGTTTACGCTCACATCCATCATACTCTTTAATCTGCTTCACTTGATAGGACCCTCGGACAGGTGGAAGAGCCCCCCAGCTGCTGCCCCCCGTCCGCCTCAGGCCTCTCTGACAGGCCACGCTACCTGCTGCTGTGTGCATCTGTGGCTTCATTTAGGAGAAAGTCGATCGGCGAGTTTGTGGGCTTTGGGTGTGACTCATGTCTGGACCCCGGTGGACGTCCTGGTGGGTGGTCACTGCAGGAGTTAGATGTTTGTTTAAAGTTCACCCCACTTTTTGGTAATTGCTCGATTATTGTCTGACCCACTGGCACTTTCAGATTGCCCTTCTAGCCTTGACAAACATTCTCCGTGCCCATTACCAAGGATTTTCAGAAGGAGGGTTTGTCGAGGAGAGCGGTGAGAACTTTGGGCATGTGACAAGTGCAATGGATAAGTGAAGAGAAGAGAATGTGGTAGATCATGAGGATTTAGTGCTACTGTGTGACCGGCATGCTTCAGCGGAGCCCATGTATGTCACCAAAATACCATGTATGTAACACAGCAAAGCTAAATGGGTTTAATATCTATTTCGTAACAGTTCAAAGTCAAGAACCACATTATGCAATAGCAGTATACAATTATATACAAGCACAGCGCTCACAAAGTGCTTCAAAATATCTCTAGAAATCAACCAATAAACTGAAAATGAATCTATAATAAACTTAAATTAAAGCAATCTTCCAGAAAGTCCACAGGAGTAGCAGCTCAAATGTTCAAAGGGAGAGAGCACAATGTTTTTGGAGGAGCTACAGGAAACGCTCTGCTCCCTCTGGTTCTGGATACATGAGCTAAAATATTGTATGTATTCAGGGCAGTTACAAGTTCAATTAATTCGGTAACTGACTTACTAAGTCAAAAAAAAAATCATTAATTGATAGCTTTTGGAAACATAACATAAATTGAATTAATCAGTGAATGACATGCAGAGAAGACGTTTTTGGGCTGTAATCACTGTTTTAACTCAATATGATGCTTTTTCAGCTGCAACACAAAATAATTTATTTTGTGATCTAAAGATACCTACCAGTAATTAGTCCTGATTTTTTTTTTTTAAGTATGGAGATGACATTTCTCCACCGTGGGACAAATAAAGAATCTTTTAATTTTAATCTTCTCTTTTTATTTTGTGGAAAAACAACATGAATTGAATGAAATATCATAGTCACACTGTCCTTATTACCAGAACATAACTGTCATATAAGGCAAGGCAAAGCAAGTTTATTTGTATTGCACAATTCATACAGTCTGGTAAACAAAACAAGATAGAAACAATCGCAGAAGCATTAAAATCATAAATAATCACAGTACAGACAATAGACAGTTAAATTAAATATAAAATCCCTCAGTTGTATGCGCAGCTAAACAGAACTGTTTTTAACCTGGATTTACACATTGTCATAGAAGAAGCCTGTCTCACTTTTTTAGGAAGATTGTTCCAGATTTTAGCAGCATGAATCTGAAATCCTGCCTCCATAAGCATTTCGAAGTGTTTTTATTTTCATTTATTGATACTGCCAACAAATATATGCAAATCATGTTAGATCCATGTGTTTTGGTTTATCATCACAGTAGCTCTACATCAGGTTTAACTTATTTTCACTAAATTACACATAATTTCCCTTCGATTTGTTTCTTTTTGGTCCGTCGTCCCAAATGTACACACTATATTTGTGTCACTGTTAATGTCACTCATGTCTAGCCACTAATTTGATAACAAGCCTGAACTGCTTCAACATGTTTTAGTGTTTGACATTTGGCCCCGCTCCACTCTTCCTCCGTGAAGTTTTCGGTGCCGATCTCGTCAGAGGAGAGCCGCTGGCCCCTGACCCGAGTAATGGCGGCGGGTCAAGAGTTGGACTGTGCGAAGGAGGCTGTGTGCGGCTGCAGAGCGCGTGAGCTGTGCCTGGGAACCGAGGCGAGCCGTGTGATCCCGTGAAATCGATCTTTTTGGACGGGGCCTGTGTGAAGTGGTTGTGTGTTTATATTTATGTGCAGTCAGTGTGGGACAGGGGCGGCGGGGTGGGGTGGGGGGGGCTGACGGGACAGAAGCCGCACTACAGGAAACAGCAGATCCCTGTGTCGTTCTGTGACCAGGATGCCCCGTCTGAGAACTGTCTGAGAAGTGACAGCAGACAGGGGAGGGCTCAGCTTTCAGACGGGAGAGTCGGAGGAGATATGGGCCCAGAATGAGTGCTCTGAAGGTTTGGGGCAGGCGTGAGATGAAAGAGAAACTAAAAACTATGAAAAGCGAGAGTCCAATGAAAGACTTTCATTCAATATGTTGCTAAAACAGTATATAATAAGTATATAATATCATGTTACTCAAAGTGCACACTTATTGAAGCATAATCTATTCAAAAGGCTTCTGTTTGTTACTTTGCAGACAGGACTGTGCTCTACAACACCTCACACTCCTTTCAGCCTTTAAAACATGAATAATTGTTCATGTGTAAATATTTTGAGACATCCAGACAAACATTATGTTAGATGTTAAAACGAGATACAGCTGGACTTGTTGTTTCACCAATTACCTCCCACCACTTCATCAGTGTCGTGTATCATTATGTGGAAGTTTGAAAACAAAAACAAAGGACTGAACAACAACTATTTATTACATCGGGAGTTATGACTTCAATAAGATGCAGGTATTTACAGTATGTATATACACATGTAAAGCTCTGTGCTCTTGAATAATGTATCTCAATAAAACAAACATCTGACAAAAAAAGATTCAAAATAATCTGAAACCATTTCGAGCAGATTACTGTGGGCCAATAAAAGAGTTAGGACCAAATGTTTCTCAAAACAATGAAAAGCGATCTCTCATTACCCGGAAGCATATTATCATCAAACTGGCTAGGATCCTTGGAGGGACCATGTTCGTCGTCATACCTCCTCAAATAAAGTTACATTCTTTAATTTACTATATCGGAGAGCAACTTTTATACAAAAGAAGAGGAAGAGAGCTACTCCTTTTTGCAGTTGTAAATCTATCTAATAATCAGGACAAAACTTGGAGAACACATATAAAATATACTGTCAATACTGTATATTAGGGTTTTATACTGTATAACACTAGGTTTATATTTATATTAGATATAGTTTGTAATGACTCAAAATGTATTCATTAAAGATCAGCGCTGGAGGCTACTGGTAGTTCACCCCAGTAGCCCTGTGGGTCTCCAACCCCGCAGGTTGGAGACTCCAGCTCTTAATAGTTGTTAGTTATTCTTTCTGTTTGCTGTTTCTTATCTAGTGCTCTTGAACACCTCTGTCTGTGACCTGTGTTTAAAGGTAAAGGTGCACTTTATTAATCCCCGTAGGGCAATTCGTCCTCTGCATTTGACCCATCCTGATGCCGCTAAGGCTTACGTCAGGACCAGTGGTCGCCGTACAGCACCTGGGAACCCCTCTCCAGATGTTGATGCTCGGCTTGGTCAGGACTACCAGAGCTGGAAAATTAAACCTAGTGAGCATGTTTTTAGTGGTACGGCAAACCGGAGTACCCGGAGGAAACCTATGCAGGCACGGGGAGAACATGCAAACTCCACTCAGAAAGACCCTGTTCCGACCGGGATTCGAACCCAGGACCTTCTTGCTGAGAGGCGAGAGCGCGATCCACCCAGCCACCGTGCAGTGTACATGCAGTGGGCATAACAATTGTGACTTATACTGACAGGATTTGCAATTGTTCCTTCGCGATCCCTCAGAGGACATGCCTTGCACTCTAAACAATGGATTTAAATTGGTCTGAGTCTCTGTCCATGATGCAAACGCTCCGGTCTGTCTGTGGGAGCGCTGCACTCATCCTCCCTCATTACAGCATATCCTCAAACCCTCTCGGCTTTATTCAATCAAGCCGCTCCCGTAGTGTCGGTGTCTGTCTGCTGCTTATGGGGACAGTCAAATCTATTAGTGCGGACTTCAGATGTCTGAGCCCCTCTTTGTGCACATCCCAGACCAGCATTCTTTGAGGTCTGTAAAAAGAAAAGTCAAATATCCAGTTAACATGATCTTTGAAGTGAAGCCACAGTGTCCATAAGAATCAGAGCAGATGAAATGTAATGGAGGCAAAGAGAGAGCCGTGCCACTTTGAATACAAGGCCTTCATATGGGATTGATAATACAACAAAGCAGAATGTGTCCTGCGACTGAACTGCAACGTTTTAGGATCATGTTTGTGGAAATGTATGAGAATTATTAACTCTTTACAGTCAGACCAGATTTTATGCAGCAAACATGTAGGCATTATAGATTATGTGCAGCAAATATAGGCTATGTTTTGAATAAACTATAAAAACAATCTATAAAATGTGTATTAGATTGTATTGAAATTCAGCATACAGTTGTAAATCTCACTTAAAGCTGGGGTACGTAACTTTCAAACCACAAATATAGAACTTTGGAATATAAACAATCTACAGACTTCCTGCCTCTGACGTGCTTTTGCTATAGCATTAGTTTTCACATCCAAGTATCTTTTTGGCTCTTTCAGACAGTGAATACGAAAGGACTACGAGATTCAAGAATGTATTTGCCATTTGCAGTCAAACCACATTGGAAAAACTGTGCAAGACCCAGTGTGCACCAGCCAATCAGCTCCCAACCAAAGAGTCAAATAGTGGCTCACACGGCTCGCAGAAATGGTTGCTGGTAAAAAAACATTAGAAAATTGGATAAAGGTTATAGATAGATGTTGAATTAATAAATGAATCATTAAGTATTTATTCAGAAAAAAAATATATATATATATATTTTAAAACCTATACATGTACAATGTATGTACAATTTGTCCCCTCAAGGAATACATAAAATAAACAATGTTATATTTCTCAGAAAACAGGAGGAGTGAGTGCTACAAGGTCCAAGAGTCAAAGAGTCAAAGACGTAATTATAATCAATGCTCTTAGCCACAGCGCCCAATCTGCATTACCAGGTAAGAATACAGAACATTCACTCACGCTGCTGGTGAAGTATTCTGGCGATTGTTTTGTGGGGATTCTGTGTGTTTTAGTTGAGGCTTTTCCCTGAATAAGTTTAGTTTAAACTTGTGACAGTAGTTGAAGTGCGGATCGGGTCAGAACATCCTGAGACTGTGTTGCAGATTCTGCCTCGTTCTCATTATTGTCAGTGTGAAAAAATTACGTTTTGTTTGTGTGAGTCTGTTGTGTACAAACTACACGATGTGCCTCCTGTTGTGGTAACGCTGTCTTTGTGCGTGTGGTTTGCGATGTTGACACTTTGCTGCTATGACGCTGGACTTCTGCATAATTATTTTTCTAAAAGATTGTTGTTCGGATCGTTCTTTTACAAAACTGTGGTCCTCCATGGTTCTTTTATATAACTGTGGTCCTCCATGGTTCCTTCTTCCAACTTGTGAAGACACGGTGAAAGCAACAATATCAGTAGCTCATGTGAAACAAAAACACGATTCTTGCATCCTTTTTGTAGTTATCCATCACCGGTTTTCAAGATGGCGAATTTACTTGGAGAGCACCCCTTCCCTTATGGACACTTATAAGTTAAATTCTAAGCCTATGAATACAATTCAAAAAACATGGTGGAGGTAAACATTCTTTAAAAGCTCATATTTGTTATTAGTTAACATGTTTTTTCATATGGGGCAGCTGTAAAAATAACACAGGGTGGCTTTAAGGAAAAGTTCGGTTCCCCATTTTTAATATCAGTTAATACAAAGAGATGAAAGGAAAGTTGCCGGTAGTCCTTGTCCTCTCTGTGGGAAGTGGGTCTTCAGAGTGAGCGATTTACATGTTGTTATTACATCACTCACGGCTGCACTGAAAACATTCATTAGAAGCACTTCCCCGGTTTGTTGGCTTTTTGGACTTGTAAGTGACGTGGAGGCTTTTGTGCCACAGTGTGTTTGTGTGTGTGTCGTTTGTGTGTTGTGTGGTGAGTCTGGACTGATTGCTGTTTATTAGGCCAGTGGCTGAAACGCACTGAGGCAGCAGCTCGGACACTTCTCCCTGTGGTCGCAGGAGGACGCACAGTAAAGGTCACACAGTCTCCAATAACACACTCACTTCCTGACTTTTTTACTCTAATAAAGAACATTTTCCCCAAACTCCAATGTAATGTTGTAACAGTGTATTCCATGCAGCTGTTCCAGATTAGCACAATATAAAAGTGGACTCAATTACATAAGTTCTGTCTTAGGCACACATTTGCTTGATTCCTGTGAAAAACAATAGATATGTTTGTCGCTTTTGACCAATGTCGGTTTAGGGTCAGGTACATTTTTAAACCTTTATTTAACCAGGAAGTGCCTTGAGATACAATTTATTTTTCGAGGTAGACCTGGCCATGAACACCTTGGTCCAGTTTACAATTTACAATTCGAGTAAAAAAACATTAAAACCCATTACCATTAAAGTAGCAATATGTAAAAATGTATAGTCAAGTCATCATTAAATGGCCCTAAAGTGTCAAAAGGCAAACCATGCTCTTTTCAAACACTTCTTTAACTGACAACAGCAGTGAAGCCGAGATCTTTGAATTACAAAATTAGTTTTACAGCCCCTAAATCTTGTTATTGCTTTCATTTTGTTGTCCTGCCCTACACCGTCTTACCAAACAGAAAGTCGTGATCTTGGTTGCCAGAACTCACCGCTTAATCTCACTGGTAAAGTAACATGTGGCCGCAGAACTAAAAAATGTCTCGTTATGATTCTCAAATCATTAATGACAAAACAATGAATAAAACAAGGATTTCTATCGGGCCTTTGTTGTTGACAGAACTCTTGTCTATTCAGATATTATGGTCCCAGCTGGATTCATCTGCATATCTGGCAACCTGAGTCAGGGAGAGTGGGAGAGGTTGCAGATCAGTGGACAAAGTTCTCTCAGCAGTAGCAAATTGTGGGTGTGCGCTGCATAAGAAAACACTTTGCCAGGTCAAGAGCCGATTCAGGTATGATTTTTTTGTGTGTTTTCAAAAGCCTGATTGTATGATGTATTAAATGTGCTGAAGAATAACAGTGGAGAGCAGTCAGTGAGCTTTGATATAGGCAAAAGGAAAGAGTTGAACATTCTAGGCAAAACAGGCGGCATAACGTATTCCACCAGGAGAGAACATTTAACGGTTACAATAATACAGAAAATGAAGGATTTGGATTTAAAATAAAGGAAATGCCTACAAAAGTGTGATTCCGATTCAATTTCTCATACTTTATTTGATCATTTCACCACTCACACCTCCTTTCTGTCCTAAAATAACACCCTGGCCCTCAGACTTCAGCCCAAAGTTGAACAAATTGCTGGATTCCGTGCCTTTTGCCAGCTTTCAGCTCATGACCAGTCACAGTCTAACGCTGGCGCACAGATGAGCGATAACACACACTGAAGATGGCCTCCGCGACATGCACGCTAACTCAAGCATGTAATGGGACATACTGCTATAACGGGGTCAGCGCTTCCCCGTCTGCTGCCCCCTGTCCTCACACAGGATAAGACTGTAGGACCTGAGGACAGGGAGGGGTCTGACAGGGAGAAGGCACAGGCCAAGACATCCACACAGCTGTCTGAAGGCTGTGAGACTTGTCCCCCATGCGTGCTTCCCAGGACTGTAGTGGGACGAGGGGGGGGTGGAGGGGGTAAGAGCGGCCGGAGAGGATTATCAACATTAGACACACACAAGGCAGTGGGTATGACTCAAAGAAGACATTGTGGAAATAGAGCCGTCACAGAGAAAAAAGCATCAGTGTAAATGATGAAAGAGCTAAAATAAGAAATATCAAATATCACCGGCTAGATTGTCTTTCTAATAGTTTTATGTTTGATTATAGATTGTATCCTCCTGAATGGACAAAGGTAAAAACTGCTTTTTAGTCCTGTTGTCACATTATCTTATTGTCACAAGCAATAAGAGTTATTTTTGACCAAAAAACCTTGGTTGCCTCTAACTTATACACTGAGAGACGCGGGCTGGTGGGTTGAAACGACCCGCCTTTGAACCCACTCATTGCCCCAGTCTTTTCACCGAAGTGTGTAAAGAGGGAGCATTACGAACAAATATGGCAGTAATTTAGACAACAATAAAACCTTTTTCAAAGCTGGTTGCTTAAATGTGGTTCAGGTGAAGAAGGCTGTAAAACTACACACAAGAGGAGCAACACTTTCCAAAAATCAAGAGTGAAGCTTTTACCTTCAGAGCTTAGACTCTACATGTTGGGGAAATTGAAACACAGAATTCTCACAGCGGAGAGCACACGATGGGGGACGGAGATGACAGTGTCCTCCTCTCCGATGCCTGGCCATTATAATGGTATTTCCTCTGGTCGCTGTGATTTTTGAAGGCCTTTTTGAAAAATCTGTTGTCAACGCAGCATTTCACCCCGGGTCACATACAGCTATAACATCCTTATGTGCCGTGCTGCAATGTTTATAATTATACCATCATTTTGAAGGTATATTTCACATACCTGTAGGAGATACATTCAAGAAGTGACATTTCTATGGGAATAGGCTTATTAGTTAGTTTTGTGGAGAAGCAAGCCCGCTCACAGTAAAAACATTCTTAATCTGGTTCCTCAATAAAAACAAACAACAACATATTTATTAATGTGGAAAACTATTGTGCTGACGACCCCTTTTAACGTCTCTGACATTGTTCCATTTCAGTAAGAGCCGCAGAAGTGAAAGACCTCAGTGAAGAAGTCTGCAGTGCGAGTTGTCAAAACAAACACAAACACTCTGTATCACATCCTCTGTAGATTGCAGACTGGACTTGTGTATAAGTGTTTTGAATGTACAAAGTTTGCTATTTTAGTTATTTGTTGAGGCCTTGCGGTATTTGGTCCGTGCCATGTGAAAACACGCAGCCACTCAGGAATATTCCCGTGTTTATGTTCGCTCCACGCTGTGTTTGTTATGGCTTCACATGGAAATAGACAGAGGCCGGAGGTTTGCAGCTCTCGTCACATCAGCCAGAGCTTTGACACAGATTTCACATTCATATTATCCACAAAACAATACAGTACGCAATAAAACAGGCTCTTTATTCATTCAGACAACATCTTTTGAATCTGTATAGTGCTGACTTTATATTTTTCTGCATGTCTGATTTATGACTGATTCAGCCTCATGGAGACATTCAGTAAGTGAGTCTTAGTAATCAGATCCAATTAAAATAGCCTTTAATTGTACCATTGGTTTTCTTAAAACTTGTACAATTCCATTCAAATAAAAGGTTCAACGATTCAGAACGATAAGACGCACTGTGTAATGTGATCATATTTGCAGGTGGAGGTCTTCTGACTAGTGAAGCTTGGAGCGATACAAGTCTGTTTTGTTTTTAGTATTATTTTTAGCTTTCTATTTCCACATTATTGAACAACAACATTTTTATTGCTACAATAATAATGTTGTTGTTATTTAAAAAAGAAAACCGGAAAGAGGCTCATTTATTCAAATTTTAATTATCTAAATATCATAGTTCTATAAAAAGCAAATTATTGTTTATTTATTTATTATAGTGTGTGTGGATAGGGAAGTCTGGGCGTCTCTGCTTAGACTGCTGCCTCCGCGACCCGGCAACGGATGAAGCGGAAAAAAATGGATGGATGGAAAAGGCTAAAGTTTTCCGTTTGAAGCACTTTTCCCTGCAGCGTGAACAAAGTCTCTGTCTTTTCCATGTCCTTTAGCATTAGATTTACGCAGAGGAGGCTCATAATGAAAGAGTGTGGAGAAGGAGGTCTGCAGTGGAGGTGGTGAGGCTCCAGGAGGAGTTGTGACATCCACACAATGGCTCAGCCTCAGATTTAGAGGCGGCCTGACCACACATATTTGCTTTGTAGCTCTCTTCAACAATTCACATGAATATTGTGGATGTTGTTTCGGCGTCAGTGTGCTGTTGTGTTCACTGTTGTGGTTATCAACGCTCTGCTTTATAAGGCAGTGCATTATGGTCCGGGCAGCAGTTAAGAGGCTGGTGGTGTGTTTGTTGTGTGTGTGAGACGTCCTGGGACCGAGTCACTGAGGAGACGAGAGGCGCGACACACAGACCATGAGGACGGAGCAGATTAAAGGGAAGAGCTGAACTGACAATAAAACAGACATGCTCATCTCAAAACAAATGATTGTAAATGTTTGTCCAAACAACGGCATGATTATTACACTTCCAGCATATAAGGCTTGTTTGTTTTACCCAATTAACCATGTCATAAAACCTCCCACTTCAGAGCAGTTTAAAGCTTTTTAAACTAATGTGATCAGCGTGTGCGGATGAGATCACTAAAACAGTTCATATTTTCCTTGCATGTTTCAAAAAATAAAGGAGCCCCATGTTTCCCACATACACCTGACATCTGACTCCTGTGAGAAATCATTTCCTAATTCCAAATGTTGTCTTGGCTGGTCAGCGGTGCTCGTCTGCAGCTGTGGACCACTGCGCTGCTCACGTCCTTCTCATGCCGTCGTCATACTTCCTGTATTTTTATCAGTCGCCATGATGTCACTTCCTGTGTGAGGGTGTGGACCAGCTGCAGCTCTGTCTGACATGGACATGATCAACAGCATTTCTCAAATCAGTGTCTAGTGTCTGGAGATAACAGTTACGGAGCTACTGATGGGAGAACATGATCTCATCTACTTCTGTCTTGTTTTGGAGCAGGTGCACAACTGTAACTCTGGGAAAATGCACAAAACTATGGAGTGATGTGGCTCAGTGCGTTTTTTCTTTTTTGCCAGAGACGAAATATTCGGATAATTTGGAATTCTAGTCTAGATGTGAGCATTAAGTAATGTTCATTCACAACGACAAGTAGTGCTCAATGTCACTATAGGAAGCTCAACGTATGCACCTGAGTGAGAAAAAATATATAAATCAAATAATAAATCAAAAATCAAATAAAAACAAAGATTATATTATGTGGTTTCTATGTCATATCAAATACAAATACATTGAATATTGATGTACTTTTAACCAGTGCAAATGTCTTTGAACACTCAACTCAACACTGACTGATTTTTTTCCCCAAAATCTTTTAATTCAACTGTCAACTTGATTGTACTTGTTTTTTAAAAATACAAAACGTCTCATCTTTTCCCGTCCACTTCCTTCCTCCATCTGTCCATCTGTTGTCCTGTGCGTTTGGTTGCTGGTCCATGTCGGTTGCCTCCTTGATAGAGTTGGAGTGACCCCATTCTCCGGTCGGTGTTTGGGGCGGTCAGCCTGGGACACGCGCTTCATTGACGGGACAGTTCTGGCACCGTTCCCCTCACACCAATTATTATCTGGACTCTCCCAGGGCCCACTGACTCACTCTCGCTCCAGGAATCTACAAACAGAGAAATATTCCACTCTCTAAAGTGTGAGAACTTCTGCGAGGTCTCCACGCCCCAGTCACACAGATGTTGGGTCTTGGCACCTCGGCAGGTCCAGCTCAAGGGGCCGATCTCAGGGGGAGGACGAGGAGGGCCAAACGGGGGCCCGGGAGCCACGATGAGAGAGGGCTTCCATTGTGAGATACAAAGCATTGTCTGTACTGGGAAAAGAGCGTGGGGATGGGAACACCGCCCAGAGCTGGACACTGAGCGGCCATTCGAATGTGTTGATGGGAGAGAGAGAGGATCTTCACTCTGGGACAATCAGGACTCCGCGGTGTGGGATCTGCTGCAGTGTCAGAGGTGCAGCTGGAGGCACAGGCCACTGCAGTCATAATGAACATGTGACGGAGTTTTGGGGGATTCTAAATTGTCTTTGATGCCATCAAAAATCTTCTTGAGAAATATTAACTTCAGGGACAAAATATGGACAACTCATTTCCCCATTGGACTGAAGAGACAGCATATCAGATTAAGATTAATTTAATTTGCCATTTACATTAAAACCACATTGGAATACATTTACCAAAGTCCCCAGTGTGCACCAGACAAGTACATAAAAAAGTAAACCGGAAGTAAAACAAGCTAGTGCTAAGTGCAAGATCGTTAAAGTGCTTTGTTTAAACTGATAACAGCCTGTGGAAAGAAGCTGTTGGCAAAATGAGATGTTCTGCATCTCAACGAACGATATCTTCTGCCAGAGGGAAGAAGCTGGAACATGGCTTTTCCAGGGACCAGAAGAGACCAGTGTTAATTTCGTTGATAATATATAATTGTCATATATTTCGTCACAAATAATTTTTTTGGGACGAAAACGAAACTAAAGCTGAAGTCATTCATTAAGACGTAGACGACGACTAAATTGATTGACATTTTCGTCCACAAATAAAAGACGAGACGAAAAATGGACCATGACGAAATCAAATCAGAAGAACGGAAAGATTAGAGCAAAAGAGAAAACAACCTATGGCTGGACTATATGTGAGGAGGACCAATGGGGGCTTGTCTTAGTAAGCACCTTTGGCACGAGCTGTGAACAGAAGCTTTTGCTAACGCTAACCACAATATCACTCAGTGCCATTTACTCACATACTGTAAGCTTACGCACGTAAAGTGTCCATCAGTGACAAAAAGAACCAGCTCGTTTTAAAAATCAGTATGCCTGTCATGCTCGTCTATTCAAGTTGTGAAGCAGAGCAAACTTTAAGTCTAATCGCCTAATTTTATTGTTTAAATGACATGGCGAAATAACTTAGGTTTAGTGACAAGATAGGTGGTCCACTACTACTACTACTACTACTACTACAATTTCTACCACTACTACTACTGCATACATTACAGACCATACTACTGAACTTTATCAAATTCTAGGCAGGAAATGTTCTTGCTATAATGACTATATACTTTCTTGTTTACTTGTACAAGAAAGTATGAACATAAAGTTTATTCCACATTTGGCAGTTCTCTGTTGTCGTGACATGATTGCAGAATAAGTAAACATGAGCTGATCATTTAGTCCAAATGGAGGCCTGAGGGCTAACCGAATTTTGGTTTGAGGTCTGCACTAGAAAAAACGGCAACATTTCTGCTGTGGAGTCTTGCCCTGATCAGCACCAGGTTCACTTTGACTTTGGAGACGGTTCTGTGTTTGGACAACGGAGAACAAGAAGCCAAGAGCCAGGTCTAAAGTTAACCTTGATCTAGTAATGGCTGTGATGTAAAGTTCTAAACTGTGATATAAAGGTGTGGGAGAGGTTAAATGCCTGCAGAACAAAGCTTTGACTGATTTGATTCAAGTAATATTAATGTTTTTATTGTATTTATCTATTTATTTGTTTTCATTGTTAAGTTCATGCTACTGCTTTGCTTTTTGCAATTTTTTTACAGTATTGCTTTAAAATGTCTTGTGAACTCAGCTCACCAGACAGATAAGTTATATTCAGATCAAAATACTGTCTTTAAAATCAAGATGGCCATTACAGCAACAACCTTTTCAGCAAAACACCAGATAATGGGCTTTTAGAGACGTTGCATCCCATAAGTCATGAAGCCCAAAATCCTACCACCATACAATTTCGCTGCACCTCCCTGTGAGAACTCCGGCCTCCTCTTTGGTTCCCGTGCAGTGTTTTGTAAAATAATGTGGAGATGCACAGAAATAGCTGAATAAACTGTGAGGCAGCAGCTCTGAGACGTACGGCGAAGCAGGGGCTTTCCAGGCGCGGTTTGTAAAGTGGACACACACATTCTCCGAGGCACATTAGGGTCACGACGGAGCTCACAGAGGAGCCGGGGTATGGGGTCGCTGTGAAGTTCTCAGGAATTGTGCGTTTGGTTGTGTAATTAAACACTGGTGCTGCATGGAGGCTCCCACATCACCTCTGAAGTTCTAATATCCTTCTGTTCTGGTGGTTGCAAAAGTCTACTATCCCCTCGTCACCAAGTCTGGGAGCCAAAGGGAACAGGCCAATTATACACTCAAAAACCCCTCTCTCAATCTTTGTTCTGTGGGCATAAACCACTGCTTTGCTGTTTTGTTTTCATTCTTTCCCCTTCTTTGGCTTTCTGACATTCCCAGTGCGTTCCCACCATCCCCCTTGTCACACACGCACTCACACAAGCCCACTTTTTAGTGTCGATGCCAACTTTTCCTGACTTCACAAGCGACGGTTCCCAAAGTCTTAAAATAGCCACCATCGTCATGCTTCCTGGTCCTTTATCAACACCATGTCTTATCGTGTTCAAAGATAAGATGGGAGTGTTTTTTTTCTTTATCTACATCATTTAGAATGTTTGTTTTTCCACATCAATATGATACATATAATACCTGGTTTAGAATCCTTGTAGGAGCACGGCCTTTCTGAGTGAAGTTGGCAAGTTCTCCCCATCTAGGTTTCCTCCGGGTGCTCTGGTTTACTGTACCACTAAAACATGTACCGTACTACAGTGACCGCTGCTCCTGACAGAGGCCCTAAAGGCAAACAAGCATGGGTCAAATGCAGACGACAAATTACCGCTTGTATATTTCACAAGTGGAACGTAACTCTACATTACATACATTGACATTATATTCAACTACGTATGACATAAGCTGTGTTAAACATCACATGAGGCTTGCTTCTCACATAGCACTGGTGTCTTTTGACCGTATATTCTGAGCAGGTTTCTTCTTGCTGCTCTGTTTTGGACACATCTGACTCATCCCTCCAACCTGTGGGAAGAGCTCAGTCACCCCCTGCTCTGTCATAACATGGGATTACTGTCCACAATACAGTGCAGGAGCGATGCCCTGCAGACGCTGTCAGCTCTCAGCTTTTGTGTCCTGTTTCCTCGGATTGCTCTTTTGTTTACAGGTATTATCACCTTTCACTTTCATTCCTCTGCTCTCATTTAGTTTCCTCTCATGTGTGTCACTGAAGATGTTTGTCTGCTCATATCAATCATGTTAGTATTTTAGCAACTTTAATATCATTCGTTCAAAGTAACCGACTTTGAAAATAAGAACTTCTCGTTCTTAATAAAAGTTGTGGTGAAGAAAAACATTCTACAATGTGTAGAAATACAAAAGCTCTTGGGATCAAAATAAGAAAATCATGCGGTTTAACGAGTTCTGATGTTTCTGACATGGCTGGCATAGTATGATTAAATAATACCATTAACATGCAAATTAACTTGAACTTACATCCACCCATTCTTCCACTTTATCTGGGGCTGGGGTGCAAAACAGCCGTCTGGCCAGAAATGCTCTGAATTAGATGCACAGCTCAACGCAAGGCGTTCCCAAGCCATCTGAGAGACATGTCCCTCTGGTGCATCTTCACACCCTAATCCAGAAATATTAAAAAACAACATTGGCCAGAAGTGTGAAAATAATTACACAGTTAATCCAGAAACAGGTGTTGAAAGAAAAGGCACTGTTACAGTCTGATAAAAGGAGTGGTGCAACGGTGACAGAACCAGGGGGATGTAATCACGGCTCTGATATCATTAACTAAAACTCCAGTTCAGCTTTGCAGTTACTCTCGATGACTCACTAAAGCGCAGCAGAACACAGCCGGAGTTCATTTTGTTGTTTTTTCTGGCTCTAGCTGCTCCCCTGATATATCATATCATAACAAGTACACTGCACTCATTAGTGGGGCATAATTCCACTCTAAACTCTTCACTGTGGTGAATAAATAGACATGAAATGCTGACTAAAAGTGTATTACCTTGTGCACATTGCAAATTCATATTAACCTTTAAACGATTATCTTTAGTCCGAAGGGGGTTCCCTGGGGTCTTCCCTTGCTCTAAATCTCTCTCTAACAAACACCGGATTGTTTGTTATCCTTTGCTTCTCTTGTTTCCACATTCTCTTTCTTTGTGCATGTGTGTGTGTGTAATCGTGTGCGTGTGTGTGTGTGTGTGTGCGTGTGTGTGTGTGTGCGTGCTTATGAACCTATGGTCTTATCTCTGACACCTGCGACGCTGCTTATAACAAATCCAGGCAGATCAGGGCCAAACGCTCTGGGATTACCGCATGCTTTTACACCAGCACTCCCGGACAATCGCCTTGTTTCACTGCCTTCCCGATTGACGTGTGGTGTGGCTTAGAGCTGCCAAAGGCCACCTGTGTCTCAAAGTCAGCTTTTGATAACATGATAAAGGCACTATTTAAACACTCCCGCCCTGATTGTTGTAGCTGTATAAAGAGGTTTCCAGCCAAGGGACTATTGGGCTACTGTTGGAGAGGATTTCGTTAGATGATCAAATACAGCCTGCAGCAGTAATAGGGATTTAATGACTTTGGTCTGTGCATTGAGACTAGAGAGAATATTTAATTACTATTCAAGATTGTACATGCTGCTGTTAAAGTACTTTGTAATAGTTTGCCTGTGGGTCTCGTGGCAACATCAAAGGCCAGACAAAAGCGGGTGCCAAAACAGATACTGACGAACGATACTGACACGTTGCTATCCACCTAGCAGGGAACGGGGGCATAACCAAAGCCTCGTCTGCACCTGCACGGACCGTCCCGGGACCATTCCAGATCTGAGGGAGAGTAGAGGGCCCTGTCGAGTGTTTCAATAGATTTGCCACCGCAGGACTTCCTAAAACATGCCTGGAAAAAACAAACAAATTAAGGCATTATATTTTAATTGGGGAAAAAG